ATGATCTAGGAGTTGTTGGATTGATTTCTCATGATCCCCTACTGTTTTTAAGAGACCTCTCTTTTCATGGTCACTGACTGCAATCTTATCTTCTATATCTGAGAGTCTCTCTTCACATTCTTTTATTCTGTTGCATACACTTTCAATGGAGTGTTTAATCTCCTGGATATCTGTTTGAATCTGTTTTATGGATTCCATTTCTTTCCTATGTTGGGCATTTATTGTTTCCATTTCTTTCTTATGCTGGGCCTTCATGGCTTCTATCATGGTCCTGAGCTCATCTATTTTTTTCTCAATTTCTGCTCTAGAGTCTCGAATCACAACTTTCATTTTGCTCACCATCTCTATGGTTATCTGGGAAATTATTTCTGTTTTGAATTTTTCTAGAGCCTGATTGATCTGTTTTGGTACTTCCTGTGCTTTGAGTTCAGGGTGTCCTGGTGGTTCACTATCAGACTTTTCATCCTCATTTGCCCTACTGTTTGCCATTGGTGAACTGGAAGTTTGTCTTTGTGTCTTGTTTAAGTGTTTTCTCATTTTTATTTCTGTTGTCAGGCTGTCCTTGGTTTAATCTCTGGGTTATCACCCAAATCTTCCTGATATAGTTGTGCCCTAGCTTCTGTGTCTCTAACAACCCACGGACATTCTCATCTTCATAACATCAGAGAAAACAGTTCATCAAATCAACCTCAATGCTTTATTCCAACTGATACAATCAGCAGCACATTAAGATCAAGCACAACTTGGAAACTGACCACCTGTGGTAGTCACTAGTCTATCACCCTTAAATCATTTGAATTAAATTGAAATCAAGAAGCAGTCCAGAACATGTCTGCAGTGAACAAACTCTTCAGTATAGTATAATTACCATTTAGGATGGGGGCTCAGACAGAGCTAGGATGCAAGACCCCTGATCTCAGTTAGCTGATGGCTGAACCCCATGATGCGGACTGACCTCGGGCTGCAAGGCCAGACTGAGTTCCTCAACCTCCTGAATGTTTGAACTCCACACCGTTCTACTACAGCTTTCCCATGCCCTTTCTTTAAAGATGTTCAAGGTTGGGAACTCAGAAATATACCCTTTATGACCACCTCTGCATGGTGGCTCCAGGCAGGAGAGGGCGTGGCTATCCTTCCTGCAGTGGATGGGGCCCAGGCTACCTTCCTGGCGCCGGAACAATGGTGACTCTGGCCAGGAGAGGTGTGGCTATCCTTCCCGCGGTGGATTGGGGCCCAGGCTCTGTTCATTCTTTTTTAAACAGCATAATTTTCAAGATCAAGAGTTATCCAGAAATATGAAATGTTTCATATATTTTATCTTTATCTGATGGATGCAATTGGCAGATGTTTTCCTGTTAGGCATTTGATATTTGCAGTAGCTGTTTGAGGAATTAAAATATTTCTCTCTTAACTCATCTTTGACATCAAATTATATCTTTTGGTTTAAGAAATACCAAAAAAGAGTCAGCTCCTTATACTTGAAAGGTTCATCCAAGCATATATAAGTCCCTAAAATTAACAGGCTAAAGATATGAAAAGTCAACTTACAAAAGGAGAATGTGGGTCAACCTCACTGGTAACCAAATAAATGCATATTAGCGCATACTAAAAACTATTTTTTTTCCTCTATCAAATTGACTCATATTTGAAAGCATGATGAAGTGTATTGGACTATATATAATTCCACTCTTGGAACTCTATCCCAAGGTAATAATCCTAAATACAATTCCCCCCATAGAAACTAAGGCACAGACATTCTCAGCAGTACATTATTTATTGTAGCAATAAGTCTAGATTCTAAATTTTCAACAACAAAATGAATATGCAAATTATATTCTGACCACTTAGTGGGAAATTATATAGCCTTTAAATTTGTACTTGCAAAGAGTTCTGTTTATAATAGAAATGAAAACTTAAGGTAAGAAAAAATATTTAAAAATTGTTTATAAAATGTGATCCCAGTTTTGTGTTTTTAAAAAAGAATAAGGACTTCTAGTCTGCTGAGATGAGAGTCCCATTCCCCTTGGATTCTCCTCTTAACAGTGAATCACCCTGGACATAACATAGCAAACAAAAAGGAGAGACTTTCAAAGGGGAAAGGAAGAAGACAGCTTCCCAGGGGGCTCAGAACTTGAGGGATGTAATGGCATTAAATTCTCTGGGTTTCTTTTTGCCTCCTATGTGTCCCAGTCAGTATATGTATATATGTCTTTGAATTTCTAAGCAACATGGATAAAATATACTCCAAAGAAAAGCCTAGCTGAAGGAATATGAAGATGGTGGACTAATAGCAGAAAATCTACAGCAATATCCATTCTACACTTGTTAGACACACATACACACACCCACATAAATGGATACACACATACTGCTACACACATACACTGTGTCCTTGGCCAAACCATTCCCTCCCCCAATCAGTGATTTCAGCAGAGTTGAGTAAGTAGCTATTTTCCATATCACCCCCAACTCAATGAAGTAGGCAGAGCTGGGTATAGCATCCCATTTCCCTACACAGTAGTGTTGGTAGAGCTAAGTTAAGAGATACTCTTCTATCTAGTGCTTGATCTCTCCCATTAGAGTAATGTCATTAGGGCCTATGGTGAACTAAGCCTCCATATCCACTAGTAAGATGATGTAAAGTAGAGCTAATCATCATTATGCTTCAACTACCTATCCTGCTATCATCAGGGTTCTTACTACTATATGATATTAATTAGAATAAATCAGGATGTGTGAGTATGGGGTAATCAATACTTTCCATTCTCCCAACCCTAGTGTCAGAGGGCCCAAGGAAGAGCTGAAACTTTACACCCACATGGTAATAAAAATCA